AAAACGCCGCCTCGGGTGTGAGGGTGTCGCGTGCCGGCAGGCGTTACAACACGGAAATGACTGCGGATGTAAACACGCGCAATGCTTTGTGTGCTGGGCAGGATGGCCGGGGGGAGAGGGGGGTACTGGAGGGTGTTGGGTCATTGCGTTGGTGTTCTCGTCTCCCTTTGAAGTGGATTGGAAATGCTAAACGGGAAGTAGATACGCGAGTTCCCCGTAATAGTCACCGGTGACGCAATGTTTTTTTACAGCCACTATGTGGATATGGATCCCGAAAACCAAAATTTCTTGCTCGACTCCAATCTTGGAAAGAAGAAATATGAAACTCAGTATGTAAGTACATAACAATGACATTTTAAAAAAAAAAAAAAGATGCTTTCTTGCCGAATTTATGTTTGTTTTAGTTCTGAAATAAGTGATAACTTTCTATTAATCATTAATTATCTCCCTTTTCTCAGCATCCGGGTACTACTTCCTTTGGAATGTCAGTATTTAATCTGAGCAATGCTATTGTGGGTAGTGGCATCCTTGGTCTTTCTTATGCCATGGCTAACACTGGAATTGCTCTTTTTGTGTAAGTATCTTTTGGTTCTTTAAAAAAAAAATGTTTCTACTGTGTAATTAATAATGGAAAAATACATGATGTAAGGATATGACCTTTACAAAATACCTAGTCATTGCCGTCGGTGCAGAACTTCATTTTAGGATTTATGGCTTGTATTAAATAAAGAGATTGCGACACATTCGGAAGGACTTGCAAAAATTAAACGGATTCATTGCAAGTTCTGCAACCTGCAAAACATTTTACAGTGAATTTCCCTTTACTTAGCTGTAGTTTCTCCATGAATAACTGATAGACTTCCCTTGAAAATTCCATTATTCGAGTGGAAGAGAGGTGCTACTTAACAGAGTGAAGCCTGTATTAGCTTTTTCCTTCAGAGTTCACTGATTTAATGACAACAGAAACTTTTCAATTAGTGGAAGTCATAATTGCATAAAAAGTACAGGATCAGGCTGTAGAGAAGTAGAAGAAAAATGTAGGCGGAAGGGGATTATTTTAGTTGTCTCATGGAAGTCTGGCCATGTCTACTCTTTTTAACATTTATTTGGCCCAGTCCTGCTGATCAGGGATATGGTCTCCTTTTCCTCAACTGACGTAGCTGTGCCTGTAGAGGTACGATGAACTTACACCGGTACAGAAATCCTTTTTATTGCTATGCTTTTACTCAGTTCAGGGAACTGGTTTCAGCTATGCCTATAAAAATTGCTGTGTCCCTGCAAGGGAGGGATGTGGAATAACTAGCATGTATTTATTGGTATGTCTATCTTGGCAAAAGCTTTCAGGTATAAAACAAGGCTGTAGTAATGTAATTGGAAATGGCATGAAGAAACTATTAAGTACAGTGCTTCTAAGTGTCTTGGGAAACTTTCCAAAAAGTTGTAGGTTAGATTCACTTCCAGATATTTCACGGTATATCAGGGTAGTGCTCAAGTTTCCTGAGGAACCTACCAATGTGTAAAGTTTTGATCTAAAGGGTTTTATTTTAAAGATATGGTGATTTGTTAATTTTTTTGCTAAGACTTTCACTTATTTAGATGATGGTAAACTGAATGAACAACTTAGCAGCATGAATTCAGAAGAGATAGATCTCTACATCTCTCTACACATCAGTTTCATGCTCTAAAGGTGTTCTGCAGCACATGAAAGATAATCAGCATAATGCACGTTAGAACATCTCTGAGGAGAGAAAAAAAAGAATTTAAGGTTAGATATTTGAATAGATTTGCCTATAATTATATATGGGGGTCCATTTTTCTGAAGAGAAAAATGTTCAAATCTGTCAATTTGACAATTAAGTTCTGAGGTCGTTTAGTTACCTTTCCTTTCCAGATACTGCATTCAGATCTATTTGCATTGAGACTGATTCAAAGATAAACTAGCTTGTTACCTTTCAAAGCTTTGTGTAGTTTGTATAGTTCCAAGGCATGAAAGCAGTCAATCACTGATGATACTGAGGATTTATGATGACACTGAGGGCTTTACAGGCATCCTTTAATAACTAGTTTACAGATTCAGATCCAGATGCAGTTAATTAAGGCAGTAAATTCTTCGAAGACTGTGTGGAGTCACTTGTGTCAGTGCTGTGACTTGTCACTTGTGTCAGCACTAAATAAATGAATGATATGGTCTGGAAGCCAGAAGCTTTGAGATGAGTTTGCTGACTGATCTTGTCAACGCTGTAGGCAGCCATTTGAGGTTAGGGCTGAGGGATCCAGGATCTGTGCTGTTTTAATGAAATGCCATCTTGGCACATCTTGCTGTGCTGTTTCTAGTTGATGGTTGAATTAAATTCTGGTTAATCTCTACCTGTCAGAAATACAGAGGTTTACTTGTGTGCGTGTGTTGGTGTTGAGTTGGCACAGTAACACAAGTTTCCTGGGTTCCTTGCACAGATCTCTGAGGCTTTTCTCAGATGTTGTTTTTTCCAATTCTTTGTGCTGTGTTTACTAATTTTGCCAATGTTAAAAAGCACACTGAAGGAAATGTAAAGAGGACTCTGGGAACTCTAAATGGGGCTTGCCCTTTTTCAGCAGTTGTGCTGATTCTTAGGTTTCCTGTAAAGCAGCGTGCTTGTGTTGGTATAAGAAAGGCAGGGTTGGGTTTTTTTTGTTTTTTTTTTTTTTAATGTGTTGTAATTTTCCACTGTGTTCTTCAGCAGCTGAGAAGTCCCCCCTAGCGTGCCACTCCAGGAAGTGCATTTGTTGTGGGAGAGATTTGTTGTTGAGAGATCCGAATTTTAGATGTTGCAAATGTGCTTCTGGAAATAATATATATTGCCTGTAAAAGCTGTGGGGAAGATAAACAAGCCACTAGTGATTCCCATGTAAGCACACATAAAGAGTAACTTTTGAGCAAATAAAGTATTATTTTTTTTTTAATTACAATAAGTGTTTTTCCATTTGAAGGCACAGCTCTAAATACGTCTGAGTTTTCAGTCAATTTTTTAAGGCTTTTGCAGTTTCATATTTGCATAAAAAAAGACATAACACAGGTTTAAGCTGAAAAGCTGATTTGTTTAAGACCAAGAGATAATCTTCACTTTAGCTAGTTAGTCACAACTGAAAGATCAATAGATGCATAGATGCACTGTTGAACAAGGATAGGAAGACAGGAGAAATACAGTTTCTTACAATGATACAAAACTGTTCCCATTGATACTTTGTTATTTATATCAAATGTAGCCAATTATAATGGACTGACATTTGCAGTGCTTATGCCACCTTACACTGAATACAAGCGTTGTTTAATCCTACACTAGAATTTCTCTGTGTGCCAGTGAAATGTTTTTCAGTATAAAATCCTTCCTAAACTGGGCATTAATTGGGTTTCCACAATGCTTTTAGTTGGCCTTAGAATCTACATTTTTTTCCTCTGATAATATTTTAATATGATTACTTTTTATGTGTGATCCATCTTTATTTAATAAGGTTACAATAAGTTACTTATGGCTATTAAAAATTTGCATGTTTTTTCCCTCCCTAGGATACTTCTGCTGTTTGTCTCAATAGTTTCTTTGTATTCAGTGCATCTCCTTTTGAAGACTGCCAATGAAGGAGGTATGGCAAATTACTATTTTACAAACATATGGTATTTTTTTTCATATGGTGTCTTTGTGAAACACACCCTTCCAATGGATTATTTTGTTTTCCAATGGATCGTTTTGTTTTCTTTTAGGGTCTTTATTGTACGAACAGTTGGGAATGAAGGCATTTGGTATGGCTGGAAAACTTGCTGCTTCTGGATCAATTACAATGCAGAACATTGGAGGTGAGGACAAGATCTTAAAAAGTTTGTGCTGTCAATAGTAATTGTTCCCTACTTACTCTTGGAGACTTTTTTTTTCACACAACATGTGTTCATTAACTGCTTGTGTTCAAGTGAAGTTATGAAACATGTTATGTGATTCTTGCATCTTGTGGCATATTCTATATTTGTAATGATCTATGATGTTATTCACCTACAGCTATGTCAAGCTACCTCTTCATAGTGAAATATGAGTTACCATTGGTCATCAAGACATTTATGAACATCGAAGAGACCACAGGGTAGGTGTTAGAACTCCTCATCAGAGAAACTATTAGGAGAAACAAATACGGAGACTGTATATATTCTTTATATGAAGACCACGTTCGGTACACCATAGGGTAGCTTCTCACTCAGACAGAGATACAGTAAGTTTGCCCTTCCCCTGAGTGCTCCACTTTAGATCCAGCCTATCCTGGGAAAATGGTAGAAAAATACAGGTATTGCATCATATTACAGGAAGTTGTTCTCTAAAGAACATCAGGTAAGTGTTAATGTATGTACCAGTCAGTACATACTCTCAGTAAGGAAAGGTAAATGTGGTTTAAAACTGGTTGTTTGGGGTTTTTTTTCCTTCTTGCATTCCAACTGGTTTGGACTGATTATTTTGGTTTTCTAGTGTTAATATTGTGGGAAGTGATTAAATATAAGACTAAGGTGCAGTTATGTAATGAATGCCTTAAGGGACAGTTCTGAAAAAGGCCTGGGGACTAAACGTTGAACTGAAACAGAGTTTATATGCCCAAGACTGAAATGGTAGATGGATTGCCATTCAGCCCTGGAGATACCTTGGCTCCATAGTGGCTTTCCTGCTTGGCTTTAAAAGTGGGTGCCTTGGATAGGGTTCATTTTATCTAACCATACTGTCTGAAAGTTAGATTTTGAACTCATCATTACTCTGGTCTTTGTATAAACAGTGGAGAAAAATGGTTCTCTGTAGTGGTCAGTTCAGTGTACTGGGCTTAGACACCTGTTTTGGGCATCTCCAGGAAGCGATTTATCATGTCACTCTGTGTGGAGAGGGTGTATAAAAACAGCTATCTAAAACAAAGATGCCTGACTTCAGATGGATAGAGTTAAGTGCTATAAATCTCACTCTTCAGAGTTGTACTTCTGTGCCTTGTCCTGAAGTGTCCCAGTCTTGAGAGGGCTGAGCAGCTCAAGACTCCAACTTACACCTAAGCCTGAGTTCAGAAGGTAGGCATTTTTCTGCCTGTGTTCCCCAAGGGGTTCAAGCCATTTGGTGGTGTTCATACAGCTTGCTGATAGATATTGTCATGACAACAATGCTAGCCATCTTTTTTTTTTTCTTTTTTTTTAATTTTTTTTTAATATATTAAAAGAATATTTACTTAACAGTGTAATGTTTACAAATTCTTTCCTGGGAAGGCTTGTTTCACTCCTTTGGCTGAATTCAATTCCTTATTTTCCACATCTTAAAGTCCCTGGAGTAGCCAGTACTTAAAAGGGGGCTTGGAGGCAAATATTTTTAACTGTCCCATCGTCAGAGTAGAATTCAAAATTGGTTGCATTTCCAGAGGAAAAGTTAAAGGCTATCAATCTCACTGGATACAGCTGCTGATCTGCAATATCTGGCAGACAAAATAAAGAAAAATAGAGATTGGTATCTTAAGTGTGTTCTTATTGTCTGGTACTAGGTAGCTGTACACTGATTTAAAGTAAATCTTTTCTCAGTGTTCTGGCAGTTGTGGACCCCATTTAACTGACTCTCTCCATGCGTTGCTTAGGGGAGTCTGGGTGGCTACCATTGGCATGGATTCCATTCTGGCAGCCTGGTGCCTAAAATGTAAGCACTTACCTGTTTAAATGTCCCAAGATAATGCTTACTGTAGAAGATATATTCTGAGACAATATTACAAATATTAGCTGCGTTATTAAAATTTGTTTAGCAATTTCTAAAATACTCAGCTGTATTTTAAAGCTGTGCAATCCCATTCTTTGCTCTTCAGCACTGGAAGAACTTTTAAGTCCTTGGTCTGAAAGTCCTCATGGCCTCCATGTGGGGCATGTACATCAGCAGTGCTCGTGTTTATGACTGTATCAAATGCAAGGAATGTCTGTGCTGTGACTTCTTTTAAATTTACCACAAGACTGCTACATTTAAAAAATAAAAAAAAAACAAAAAGGGACGACAAAAGATACATGATGTTAATGTCCTACACATCTGAACTTTCTAAAATACTTTTTTTACATTTAGTTGTCCCAGGTAAAACTGGGGAGAGGGATGACCAAATTGTTTTTGCATTTGCTACATAAATCCAGAGCAAGTCTGTTAAAATTATTCCATATTTCCACTAGCACATATAGGCTTCTAATTCAGCAATTGAGTTTGAATGCACAAATTTCCAATTGGGTGATTAATTTTTCATTGTTTACCTAAATAGTAGACAGTCAACTCAGAAATGAATACTGTTAGCTGATACCATAACAAGATATAAAGTATCAATATTTGGGAATAAATGCTTAGTGTTACTTGGATTGCTTAAAGCATATAGGATGTTCCTGTAGGACGGATGAAAAGAGCAGTTACACTGCCACAGTTAAATACTCAAGTTTTTTTCTGTTATTTTGGTGAAATTGCATTATATTTCCATAAATCTAACCTTGTGTTTCAGTGTTTCAAAGGAAGATGTTACTCTTCTAACACTGCAAAATGTTTTGTCAAAAAGTAGCTGCTGCTTCCTATGGAATAAATAGCAGAAATTAACTGAAGGGAAAAATCTTCTCATAGTTTCCCTGTTGAAAGCAACTAAGTGTGCCTCCATGAGACTCCCAGTGCTTGTTGGAGTGTTCTAAGCCACTGGGCTTAAGCTATTGGCTTAACTCCAGCCCTCACCTGTTTTTCTTTAACTCCTGCAGGGTACCCAACAGAATTTTATTTTCATTAAAAGTGGCTCACCACCCTGCTGGGGCCCTGTAATATTCTAATACATCTGGAGAGTTGGGAACCAACATTTAAGCAAATTACTATTTTTATGTGATTGACTTTTTTTCTGACCAGTCATTTACTTTCCTGTCTTCTGACTTTCAGATGCATATTAATTTTAGAAAAGGACACTAAAGGAAAGGCACAATGCAGGTTTGGGGTGAGATAAGAAGAAGGTATTGTAGGGCTTTAGGTCCATATAGTAAGTTGAATTCTAATCCTTTGTGACACGAGGTACTACGTTTTTTTAAGAAACCATATGTTGTAGGAGAAGTTAAAAGTGAAGCCTAAACTGTAAATGTTGTAATTTTAAAATACTTTGGTTACTTACAAATACTCCCTTTTTTCTACAGAGAATGGTATCTTAACGGCGACTATTTAGTGCTGCTGGTGTCTGTCATCCTCATTCTTCCCCTGTCCTTACTGAAAAATTTAGGTAAGCAGTACAGTACAATCAAAATAAAAACATGTTGAAAATACTCTGGGGAAATGGGTTGATATGATGTCTGAGTTCTGAAATACTATGTGAATTAACAGCTGTCTCCAAACTTGTCTCTTGGGACTAATCAGTGTTTAGGAAATTGCTGTCAGTCTATGTCAAAAAAAAGTTCAAGACAAGTATCTTTAAGTTACAGATGTGTTTGTGGACAACGAAAGGGCAATAGATAAGGTAGCTTTAGAACAAGACTCAACAGTAACTCTGTGTTCTTACTACAAAGTTTGACATCTTTTGGTAGTGAAATAGTGTAATACTGTTATTAGCTAATAGTGATAGCTATTATATCCTATAACAGTCTCAAAAGAATAGGGATGCTAGCTCTGGGCAGTTAAATTTTCTTTGCAGTGTAAATAGAAGTCACCTTTTACATTTTACATCCCAAATAGTAGTAGAATATTCATACCAGATGCTTTATGTAAAATGGCTGTAATTCAGTGATACATGTGAATTATTCAGTTAATGTACTATTTGTTCAGCGAATCATGTAGTGGAATCTTACTAAGAGTCTCGATGTGAATTACTGTCTCAAGTTACTACTTTCTACAAATTGAGTCAATAAAAACAGAATGGAAAAGGCTAAGTTATCTCATAGTGCATTCCATTAAAAATAACTCTATAATCATTCTTAGTATATAATAAACAATTCACATAGTTGGTATGGGGTTTTGTTGTAGGAGATTTTTTTTAAGTTATAAAGTTTAATATTACTGTATGTCCAGACCCTAATATGTCTTTGAGAACTTTCATATCTGATCTGGGTTGAGATTAGCAGAAAGTCAATGAATAATTAACTTGTTCTATGTAACACTAAGAAAATGGCAATATAAAGAGATCACTGACAAAATATATTTTGTCATAGTGTTATGACAGGAATGATGTTTCTGTTTGTTGTACCTTAGATTTATTTATTTTTTTTTTATCTTTCTTGAACACAGGATATTTGGGCTATACCAGTGGCTTTTCCTTACTTTGCATGGTCTTCTTTCTGATTGTTGTAAGTATAATCTTGTAGACTTCAGGCTTGTAAAACTGCATTTCAAAGTGAAATTAAACATAGTTTCTGAAAAGTTTTGCAATTTGCATTAATCAAAGTAACAATAAATACATGGCTTTATTTCTAGGTAATTTGGAAGATGTTTCAGATCCCTTGTCCTATGGACAGTGACATCATGAACATGACATTAGCAAACGTGACACTGGCACCTTTAGTAGATACAAACATAACAAGTGATGATGTATGCAAGCCAAAATATTTCATCTTCAATTCACAGGTAACTGACTAAAACTCTGAAAATAGGGGAGACTAAATACATAGCAGATAAATTAGGTCATTTTTCTTTCAAGTAGTTGCCCAGTTGTAAACTTGGGATGTGCTAAGACTTTCTGTTCCAGTAGAGTTAGGCACTGTTTACCTCCTATAGACGAGGTGTTTCCACACCCCAAACGCAGAGAAATTAGAGGAATTAGAGCTGCATGCCTGAGATAAGTGGCAATAAATGCGTCTCTCATTCTTCAGCGCAGCATTTCTCAAGCTTTTTCAAGTCCATGCAAGGAAGTTAGTAAAGCATTTTAAAAAGGAGATTGCAGAAGAAGGTGAAGTACATAGTAAAAGCACATGAATTGGAAATGCGTGTCAGGGTTTGGAATAGACTTTAACTTCCTAGTCATAGAGTCTTGACTCTCATGAATGGTCCCAGTTCCAGTGGTGAATCTTCACACATGGGGAAGAAGTATGTGTAATAGCCAACACCAAGACCAGGCTATAATAGCAGAAGCCTATGAGATGCAGAACATAATTCTGAATGAAAATACATTCAGCACAGCATGGACTACAATGATAATTGAGAGTATTTGATACCTCAGGGTCTGGGTTTAAGAAAATATTAACTTGTTTTAATTTTTGCCAAAGTTTCATTTCTAAAGAATAGCTAGTCTTTATGATGAACTAAGCTGATGCCTAAGTCAAAACTGAAAAATCTGTTGATGATTTTTTTTTAAAAAAATAAATTTCTCCTGTCTATTGAGATACTTAAGAAAGATACTTTTGTTTTTCAGACCGTCTATGCTGTCCCAATCCTAACATTTTCTTTTGTCTGCCACCCTGCAATTCTTCCTATCTATGAAGAACTGAAAGGGTAAGTATTAGATATGTTTCTTTAATTTCACTAAACAAACAAAAGTAGTATTAAAACAGTATGTTCTCATTGCTCACAATGTTTCTTTTTCTCTTTCTTACAGCCGAAGCCGTAAAAGAATGATGAATGTGTCCTATGTATCTTTTTTTGCCATGTTCCTCATGTATTTATTGGCTGCTCTCTTTGGATACCTGACATTTTATGGTGAATATTGCCTTCTCTGTTTTTTGGTTTTGTTTTGGGTTTGTTTTTTTTTTTTAAATTAATTACGTTCTGCAAAACCACAGTATTATTGTATTATTTTTAAGTTAGAGCAAGCAAGCATTTACTGTGGGTTCTGAATATACACTGTTTGTTGGGGGAGGTTAATACTTTTATAAGTGTAGACCCAAAAGGAGATCAGTAGTAGGATTAGGCCCAAGGCAGAGGATTGAAATTGGATTAAAACAGATTTAGTGCCTCCAAGTTATCACTGTGTAAAATGGAGATGTGCTTACAGGAGCTGTTGAGGCTTTCAATTCATACTGCTCGAACTGTGAAATTCGCTTAGAATTTAGAGCAGAAGCGATTGCTTGAGAAGTATGTCGACTACATCTAATTAAAATACTGTTTTCTTATAGGAAACGTTGAACCAGAACTGCTTCATACCTACTCTGCTTACCTGGGTGCTGATGTTCTTCTTCTTATTGTGCGTCTTGCTGTACTTATGGCTGTAACCCTTACTGTACCTGTAGTTATTTTCCCAGTAAGTAATTTTTTTTTAATCTTACTACCATTTTTTTTTTGTCACCTGTCC